TTAATACGGCAGACTCCTCCATAAATTCCTCCATCAGTTCAAAGCTTGCTGCATCTGTCACTACAAATTTGAGTAACTCATCTAGCCCTGGTTCTTCATGTCCAGATATTACTACAGCAAATAATGAATCTTTACTTTCAACTGTTGATAAAGTGGGGACGTTATGGCACAAAAGACTTGGCCATCCTCATCCCTCTGTACTTAACACTCTTGTTACAAATTTAAAAATAAAAGATCATAGCAGAATTAGTTTTTGTGAAGCATGTCAGTATGGGAAACTTCATCAAAATCATTTTCCTTCTTCTGATTCACAAACATATATGCCTTTTGAGCTTGTTTTTGCAGATGTTTGGGGACTTGCCCCTGTTACCTCAGCTACTGGTTATAAATACTATTTACTCTTGGTTGATGACTACACACGGTACTCTTGGATTTATCCAATGCAACTCAAATCTGAAGTTACCAATATAATAAAACAGTTTGTACAACTGGTTACTCAGCAGTTTGACAAGAAAATAAAGACCTTTCAGTCGGATTGGGGTGGAGAGTTTCGCCCTTTAGCTGTATACTTTGCACAACAAGGAATTCATTTTAGGCATCCATGCCCCCACAAACATCAACAAAATGGAAAAATAGAATGTAAACATCGGCATGTGACAGAGACAGGATTAACATTATTGGCCCAAGCCTCCATGCCACTTGAATATTGGTGGTTTGCATTCCACACGGATGTGTACCTAATTAACAGGTTACCTACGGTGGTTCTACATAATCAAACTCCTTTTCAAAAACTTCTCCACAAGTCCCCGGATTACCAAGCTATTCGGATCTTTGGGTGCCAATGTTTTCCCTTCATCAGACCCTACCAAAAACATAAGTTCTCTTTCCATTCTGAGCAATGTGTTCTCCTGGGGTATAGCTCACATCATAAGGGATATTTGTGTCTTAATACTCTTTAATGAGGAAGTTTTCCCTTTTGCCCACAATTTTACCCTTAAACCTGCTCCCACTACAACCACAACCTGTCCGCAGCCTTGGAGACTACCAGTTGTTTTTTCTTCTCGGCAACAACATGTACCAGATTCCTCTCATTTGTCACCATCCTCCACTACATCTACTGACCCAAATTCTGTTACCTCCATAGCACCTGTCATTCACACCTCCCCACATCCTCCCCCTCTTCAACTAGAGGATGACCTTTGGCGTTATCAAACTACAACGCTATCACCTTCTTTTCCTTCATCTCATCAGCCCACTCAAAATGTCCATCCCATGATAACCAGACATAAAGCAAAAGCCCTCCTTAGTTCCATCCTCCCAGAAAATCATACAGAACCTTCCTCTGTTGCAACAGCCCTTCAGCACCCTCTTTGGCTCCAAGCCATGAAAACCGAGTTTGATGCACTCCAAGCCAATCATACGTGGACCTTAGTCCCATATACAGATGAGATGACCTTAGTTGGGAATAAATGGGTTTTTAAAGTCAAGTTAAATGCTGATGGAAGTCTTCAACGGTATAAAGCGTGGCTTGTCACAAAAGGCTTTCATCAGGTTCCTGGAGTTGATTACTTTGAGACGTTTTCTCCCATTGTTAAAGCTTCCACTATTCGAGTTATACTCTCCCTTGCAGTTTATCATGGATGGGAAGTGCAACAAGTTGACGTTAATAACGCCTTCCTCAATGGCGACCTCACTGAGTTTGTGTATATGTCTCAACCGAAAGGTTTTGTTGATTCTTCCCAACCATCCTATGTCTGCAAACTTCACAAAGCATTGTATGGGCTAAAGCAAGCACCCCGGGCGTGGTTTGACAAGCTTAAGTCAGCCTTGGTTAGTCACGGTTTCACCAATTCTACATCTGACTCCAGCTTATTTTATTATCATCAAGATACTACAGTAATCTACATACTTGTTTATGTAGATGACATCCTGTTAACTGGTAGTAATGCCTCTTTTATTCAACAAGTTGTCAGCTCTTTGGATGAAACTTTTGGTCTTAAAATCCTTGGTCGTGTTCACTACTTTCTTGGCATTTCTGTAGTTCACTCCCCTTGTGGTCTTCAACTAAATCAGCAAAAGTATGCTGAAAAAGTTCTCCAACGTTTTGGTATGCAACATTGCAACCCGTGTTCTACTCCCATGGTGCTTGGTTCAAAATTGCAGTTTGATGATGGACCTCTTTTCGATCAACCCTCCTTATATCGCAGCCTTATTGGTGCTCTCCAATACCTTACAATGACTAGACCGGACATATCTTTCGCTGTTAATAAGCTGAGCCAATTCCTTAAAGCTCCAACAACTACTTATTGGCAAGCCTGTAAGCATGTTCTTCGCTATATTCAGGGCACTCTGAGTCATGGTCTGACATTTCAAAAAAGTTCTACCCCGCATCTTGAGGGCTATACGGATGCCGACTGGGCAAGTAATTTGTCTGATCGGAAATCTACCAGCGGCTATTGTCTCTTTCTTGGGTCCAATTTAATCCAATGGAGTTCCAAAAAACAACAGGTAGTAGCTCTTTCTTCCACTGAAGCTGAGTACCGTGCTTTGGCTCAAGCCTCAACTGAAGTAGCCTGGCTTCAAAACCTTTTTCGTGAGCTTCATATTACCATTCCCGGTGTTCCTGTTCTCTGGTGTGATAACACCAGTGCAGGTGCTCTTGCCGCAAATCCCGTGTTCCACGCGCGCACCAAACACATTGAAATCGACGTTCACTTTGTCCGTGAAATGGTTCAGTCTAAACGGTTGATGGTTCAATATGTTGCTTCTCAGTTTCAGGTTGCTGACATCTTGACCAAGCCATTGTCAGGTCCTCGGTTTAAAACTCTTCGTGATGGTTTGCACCTTGGTGCTGCTTCCTTCCCATTTGAGCTTGAGGGACGATCCTTCACTTGTCAAGCCTCAAATTCTGAAGATTCAGCAGTTGAAATAAATAAATCCTGAGAAAGAAAAATCAGTCCAGTTCAGTTCAGTTTTTCCAGATTGGTTTCTTTCTCTTCTGATTGGTTTCTCCCTCAATTTTTTTTTCTTAAGTTCAGCTTGAGGGACGATGTTAAACAAAATATCAATCTTCACTTAAGCAAAAGTTTCAAACTTAGAAAAAGTAGTTCACACTTCTTATCATCTACCAACGGCATGCAAGTGGGAAATACAAGTTGCACTACAAGTTGCAAAACAAAGTACAAGCTGGCCTTATCCTTAACTAACAGCATGCAAGTGGGAATACAAGTTGCAACAACAGAATATAAGCCGGCCTATCACTAACTAACAGCATGCAAGTGGGAATGCAAGTAGCAAAACAGAGTACAAGTTGGCCTGCAAGTGGAGATGCAAGTTGCAGATCAAACGCATGGCATTTAGTTAGTTGTTAATGATCAAACGGTGGAGAAGAAAGTTTGCATGTATAAATATTGTAGTAGCTACTGTTCACGTAAGAAAAAGTAGAAGATGTATTAAGAAATATGAAAATAATCTAGTGCACTGTTTTTCTTCTCACAGTTTATTTTCTCAATCGTCTTTTTTCTTTCTCTCTCTACTGTGTAAAGTTTTTTTTCACACATGGACACCAAAATGTACAACAACCTGTTAATAAACAAACAAGTCCAACAATTAATGAACAATTAACACTTATAAAACTCTAGCTTCTCTTCATCAAAGCACGTTGTAAAGTCTTATTGTCAACTTATGAACTTTGTTTACGTATTTGTTTGATGTTAGCACAATTGTGAATTCATTTATTGGTTTACATATGTCGTAATATCCTATTAATTTGCACACTTTGTTTTGTTCACTTTGTTTGTGTTAAGCAAAATATGTTGACACATTTTTTCTTTCTCTTGCTTATCATGTTTTATTTTTATGAATGATATTTGCATTGTTATGTTACTTTACAGGTGTCACTGTCTCCAAGAGTGGTCCAAGAAAGTTTGTGTAAAAGTGTTGGACACATATACGGTGGAGATTGGTTCTTGCAAGGATATATAAAGTTCATCTTCTTTCTTGCATTTTTTTTCTTGGACCTGATATTTTGAAATTCCATTGATGCTCTGAAATTTTCAGTGTTCATTTCGTTTCAGGTTCTCTTTATTGTGATTTATTTTATCAATAACGTTCTTTGTTTTTGTGAGTAGGAACTTGGTTCCTTGATTGAAGAGCTTAAAGGGAGTTTAAGCCATGGAGTTGAAGGGAAGCTTCAACCATTGAAGCTTGAGTGGAGCTCGAGATGTCCAAGAGGATTCTTGGAGTAAAGTTGATCGTAACAAAACATTGAAGAAATCAAAGGGTAAAGTTTAGTGTATCGTAGAACAAAGAATTTTTCTTTGTTGTATCTAAATTCAACTCTAGATTGTCTTGTAATGGTTTGTGTTATAGTAGATTAATTTCAATCTGGACCAAGTCTCATGGATGTAGGCTAAAAGTGATTTTGCCCGAACCATGTATCTCTTTGTGTGCTTTACTCTTATGTTCATAATTGATTGATTTTATTGTTGTTTTGTGATCATCAAGCAAACCGGTTTAACACCCATCCATAACCACTGTGCTTAAAAGAGTTAATAAACTATTTCACACGTAATTAACAAGATATGGAGAGAAACTTATAGGTTGAACAGTCGGAGAAGCAGTCAAAAAGCCCTGAGGACCGAGGGCTCTCAATTTCATCGTACGTTGATTGGATCCTCCTCGCATATAAATACGTTTCCACCATTTTAATTATTAACATCACAATACTATGTTATATAATTAATGATATTAGATCAATAATTATATAAAATTTAAAAAAAAAATGATGCATTTGGCTAATAAATGGAAGTGTATATGATATATAATATTCATTTAATCTTACAGTACTATACTAATAGATTTAGTTGACTGAGATTTAAGAGTACTGCGACTCCAATTCTTGAGTGAAAAGAATATAGTCTACCAATACATAATTAAATCAATAATCTCTATAGCTATAGAAGTAATATATAATTAATACAAATTATCATAAAGTTGGCTTTTACACTTAGCATCAAATAAAATTTTAATTTTCAAAGAGATCGCTCCATGGAGTTGGCTTTTACACTTAATTTATTATAATCGATCACTTTAATTACACAAGAGAATTTATTTTAAGACAAACTGTTTAAAATATCCACGGTATATGCGACAGTGGCAATTCAAACTAAAAATATGAGCACAACACGAAGGAAATTTTCAGCAGTTAACGCTTCATGCCTTCCTCCACTTTAGGAGCCATCGCCACACCAGGGGTCCGTCTACTGACATTCTCATCCCATCCTAAATATATAAGGAACAAAATTCATAAACATATGTTAACAAGAATTCTTAGGAAAAACGCAGACTTATGTATGCCAATAATGAACATTAAATGATAAAATTTTGGAGTTTTTGATACCGATGGACATGTCAAATCCACGATTCTTAAGCTCACGGTATTCTTGACATATGGCGCAATATTCACAGAAGCAGCTCATGCAAAAATCCCCACAATTGCTTCCCTCCAAGTTATATTGCTCCCTCATTTTATGACGATAAAAGAAATTGAAGATCCATCCACATCTAGTACAATGGAGGAGGAGATAGAGTGCCCCAATGGCAAAACAAGCTGAAAATGCCAAATATCACACATCAGCATCTATTTTACAATGCTTAGGTGTACATTTACGTCAACATTTATATGGACATAAATTATTCTAAATAATTAACCATTTTACTCGAAAAATTTAAAATTTTCGGTCAAGACTTTACATCGATAGATATTTAAGATCTATACCTCTTCATATATAACATATATAAATCCAATTTAAAAGCTTTCGATAAGAAAATAGCAATTTTATCATCTAAAAGTTATTCTTTTACTTTGGTCCTTTTATATTTCATGAACTTTACATTTTATCTCTTTTAAAGTATATATATATATATCTATAGATATAGATATATTATACATATATATATAAGGCTATGATAACTATTAATATATAAACATGTATAAATCCAATTTAAAAGCTTTCGATAAGAAAATAGTATATATATAGTTGACCTCTTCATTAAACATTACATTTTGACCCAAAACATAAATTTCTGGTTCCCTCATTAAAGCACTCTTTTGTTCTACTTACAGGATGATCCTTTATCTACTATCTCCGCAATCCGTCCAAAAGCAACGCATGGACACCATGTAGTCAAACAACCTGTTAAGGATTGATCAATTGATAGAGATTATTAGTGAATAATGAAGGAAAATGCTGCAACATTTTAAATTTAAACGTACTCTAATGCTTTTATATTTCGCTTATATTGTAATTAGATGTTAACTTACAGCTTGAAATATCAGAGAAGCACTCGTGGCAGCCAGTGGACCAAGCACCTTGACTTTCAGTCATCCTTCTTTGTGGGCGAGACTCTGGTAAAAATTGTGTGGTAGAAAAGCTGAAAAATTCTAGTGATTTTCAGGTTATTTGAGAGAAACTGTAGAATATTTTTTTTAACTTTAATTATAAACTCTTACAACGGGATGCACAAAGAGCAGGTTAACCACAATACTTAGAGAGATAAATACCTAAAATTAATCATATTGCTAACTCAACAAGGATTTTACACGTATAGGTAACTACTAATTACAAAATACATTACAAACAAACTAGACAATTCCAATTACACATGAAAAATAGAAGAAAAAATCACTGAGTTATCTGTAGGATCGAATTAATCAATAAAAGGGTAGTGTTATAACGAAACCAAAAGAGTTTCAATTATGAATGTTATAGAGATACTATTACATATCTAACAACAACGAAATTAAATGTGAAAAACATAGTGATGTAATTAAATTATATGGATGAATCAGTTAGAGATTGTCCTGTGTGTGAGCGGTGTTTAGGTGGAAAGTGAAATGCTTACCTTCGTGTGAATGGAGATAAGTGAAGCGGGCTAGCCTTATATGGTTGATTTGTTCACCTTTGTGAGCTTATATTACAAGGGGAGAGAACTATTTATAGACGACAATAGCAATAATTGTGTGTATGTTAAAAAACAAAGGGCAAATGACATGCACCTACCTATAGTTTGCCTTAAAGACAATTTGATACCCAAAAAATTTGAAAATAACAAATAACTATTTTCCGTTAGATTCTGTTAAGGATTTCCGTTTGTTAAAGATAACAGTGATTTAAAAGACTGAAATGCCCTTTAAAGTTTGATATTCCTTTTTATATTCATCTCTCTCTGTTTTCATCTCTTTATCTTCCTCTATGGTGATATTCACTTCCAAAGAAATTCTTCAAGGTTATGAAGATGTGTTTTTGGTGGTTTTGAAAAGTTTGCAACGGCGGAGGATGTGGGAGATTGGACTGGACTGTGAAATGGTTGTGCAAATGATTTTACCAGAAAGAGATCTTGTGAAAGAGGTTTTAGGAAATTTAATTTTAATTAAAGTAAATATAATCAATAAAATTTATCCCTTTACCATTTGAATTCTGGCAAAATCCAAGAGAGAAAAAGAGAGAGGAAAATAAAGAGATGGAAGAAAACAGAGACCAAAAAGAGACAACGAAGTGAAGATAAAAAAATTTAAGGGTATTTCAGTCTTTTCCACATTATTATCCTTTAGCAAACGGAAATCTTTAACAGAATTTGACGAAAAATGGATGTTTGTCATTTTCAAACTTTTCAGGTACCAAATTATCTTTACAGCAAACTATAGATAGTGCATGTCGTTCAGCCAAAAAACAAACAGGTTCCTCCAGGTGGCAATGCCGCAATACTCAGTAGCACTAAAATTAATTAAAGTGAAGGGCCCTCCATAGTTCACATTCTGAGTGGAAAATGTACATGTCTCAGCTGTATTTTCTGCTTGTTTTTAGCTCCAACTTCTAAGATAAATTATATTATATTGTAGTCATTTGTAAGAAAATATTGAAACTCATGAATATTTTTGTTATTTAATTAAACATCATGGCAATTATTATTATTAACTCTTTTTCTATAAAATAGTTCTATGAAGTTAAGTCTTAACCCAGTTTTATTCATGCTCTTAATCGTGGAAAGGGTGTTTGAAATCCACTTCAGAAACATCTCTGTTTGGACCACAAAGGCACTATAAGAATTGCATGTTTACTTGCTGAAACATTCCATTTGTCGATGGGGTTCAAATTACAGATAATTGAAAAGGAGAAAGCGCTTATTCTAATTATCGAATTATTGAAAATTTTAAAAGCTAACCTCCATATTCCATCAAATATTGACGAAATATTCAACCCAACCATTAATTGAAAAAGAGAAAGTGCTGATTCTAACAGATTTCGGCTAGGGTTTTGGTATTGAATACAAGACATACACCGCTCACACACAAGACACTCTACCTGATTTCATCCATATAATTTAATTACATCACTATGTTTTTCACATTTAATTTCGTTGTTGTTATATATGTAATAGTATCTCTATAACATTAATAATTGAAACCCTTTTGGCTTTGTTATAACACTACCCTTTTATTGATTAATTCGATCCTACAGATAATTCAGTGATTTTTCCTTCTATTTTTCATGTGTAATTGGAATTGTCTACTTTGTTTGCAATGTATTTTGTAATTAGTAGTTACCTATACGTGTAAAATCCTTGTTGAGTTAGCAATATGATTAATTTTAGGTATTTATCTCTCCAAGTATTGTGGTTAACCTGCTCTTTGTGCATCCCGTTGTAAGAGTTTATAATTAAAGTTAAAAAAATATATTCTACAGTCTCTCAAATAACCTGAAAATCACTAGAATTGTTCAGCTTGGCTACCACACGATTTTTACCAGAGTCTAGCCCATAAAGAAGGATGACTGAAAGTCAATGTGCTTAGTCCACTGGCTGCTTCGACTACTTCTCTGATATTTCAAGCTGTAAGTTAACATCTAATTACAATATAAGCGAAATATAAAAGCATTGGAGTACGTTTAAATTTAAAATGTTGCAGCATTTTCCTACATTATTCATTAATAATCTCTTATCAATTGATCAATCCTTAACAGGTTTTTTGACTACATGGTGTCCGTGCGTTGCTTTTGGACGGATTGCGGACAAAGCTGACAAGACATTTACCCAAGATTTCCAGATTTCTCTTTTTTGTTCTTTCTCTCTAGCTTATCTCCAATCCTCCCTTGGTATTGAATAGAAGAGGATTAGAGATAAGCTAGAGAGAAATTTGTAAATCTTGGGTAAATGTCTTATTAGCTTTAGCGCGATTACACGTGTTCAGTTTTAGAGAACATGAACAGTAGCTAACAGTGACATAATAGAGGGTAACAGTTAACTTTAGTCAACTGACAGTAAGTATTAAAGTCTAACATGTTTACTAACAACATGAACCACATAATTGTGTAATCTTCGTGCTAGCAAATTGAGATCAGAATCTCTCATGACCAGAACTTTTATCTAGAAAATTATTTGCCAAGATCTTTTGTATCACAATAAATATATATAGACTGCTTTAGATTAACTAGTCATCAATTTATATAAACATTGTTTCATAATTGTTTAGTCTCACATCGACTAGACACACTCAACTCTACTAGTTTATAAGAGAAGGTAATTCTCTCATTCAAAAAGGTTTTATTGGGTTGTTAGTAAAGTTAGAAAACTTAAATTGTTCTAAGCTTAGCTTAAGAATGGAAGTTAGTTAGGAAGTTGTTATGGCCGTTTTCGCTGCTGTTATACTCACCGTTAGTCTTAAACAGTTAGTTATCAATTCTATTACAATAATGTTTCTTAGAACTCTATATAAAGAGTTCATCATTGTACACCTGTTTATCTTAATTAAATACTAGCATTTTCCAGAATCTTCTTTGACTTCTTTCTCTGATTTCTCTCTAATTTTGCTCTGTTTTTACTCAAAACCTCCCATGGGTGAGAAGTCAAGCCACCTCAAACTCTATCAATAATCTCCTTCGCTGTGGACCATAAAGATATTTCCCAATCACAACCAAACACCTTCTAAGAGATTCCTATACTTGTTTAACAGTGTTGCAACAAACATCACTTAAGTTCTTTCTTTTGTAATTTTATTGAAACATGAAAAGCAATGTCGAAACTTGGTCAAATTATGTTTATGTCATGTTTGAACCATAATCGATGACATAGCAAGGGAAAATTGAATCTAGTGGGGCGAGATTACAACATCATGGTTAAATATTTATGATGCGTTCATTTGAAAATATCACTCATCAATGTATAAGTTCATGTAGAAAACTCATATTTGTCAAAGTTATGAGTTGTGTGTGTGCACAACATTATGTGTGCACACTTGTTACCAATCAAATGATTTGGCTTGTTTCCTTTGTTATATGTGTGTGCACATAAGTTTTGCATACACACTAGTTGCTAGACTTGTGTTTTGACTTGTTTCGTTTAGACTATGTATGCACAACAGTCTGTACTTACACTCTCGCTTCAGATATTTGTAACCCAGCACGAGTTGCATGTCTGATAAAGTGAAAAAGATATTGTTTATCTTTGTCTCTCACTTTTCAGGACATTTTTACATGTGTCATAATATCCTCAAGTGATCCTAGGGAATAAAGTTTCGTTTCCTGATTTGTTTTGTAGTCCAAACCAAAAGAATGAATACTTTTCTTATTTGGACAAACATGCGTCAGCCCTTTGTTGGCTAACATGGCACTATAGTGTTGAGCAAGAAACTCTACATTATATAACACACTTTCTTGCGTGTATGAATCTAACCTTTTGATATTTTGTTTCATTGTACTCTGAAATTTCTTAGAGTATTTCTTCTCTTAAAGTTCAAGGTTCATTTCCATTTTTGTGCCTAAACCTCACCATATCAAACATAGTCTTGATGGCTCTTGGAACATGGTTCCTTTGCTAACGTTAGTGTGTGGCGTCGGTGCTTGAAGCTTGGTGGTTCACAAGCTGCTCACGGGTATGTTCCCTGCGTGAAGAAGATTCAAGGAGTTGCTACACATTAAGGATTCAGAGTGTGGTGCTGAGTGTAGTTGAACAGGGAGTTCTTTTTACTGTATCTTAAATCAACTTTGAACTATATTTTGTAATGTGTTTTTAACTTAGTAGATTGCTTCGATCTGGACAAGGTCCCATGAATGTAGGCTAAAAGTGGATTTAGCCGAACCATATATATGGCTGTGTTCTTTATTTTCCGCACTTGTGTTTGATGTGTTCAAATTGGAAATGTTTTAATCTTCTTAGTAATTATTCCGCTGCACTTAAAATGGATAACCACACTTAAAAGTGAGTTAAATCTCCAACTCTCTCCCCAAGAGTTCATTCAAAATGTTGCTATTAAGCAATAGATGTATACATTATCATGTTAATGTCATAGTACTTGACATATCACTTGAAATGAAAATTTTTGGAATAAGGTCTTAGAATAATAATTTGAGTACTCAGGATTGAAGAAATTTCAACATGACTTATTGTTCATATACACAACAAATATTTAAAAAAAAAAAAAAAAATGCTTTAGATTTTCATAATGTCCTTCAATGCAAAACATAAAGAACTTTCATTGCAAATAGTTGATGTGCTGGAAAATCCGAAAAAAAAAAAAATATATAGTATTACACTTCTCAAATGAAATCTCAAATTTATCATCTAAAGTAATGTATCATCTTATATGGTGTT